AGTGATCTGCCTCTATCTTCCTGTGGTACTACGTGGACTATCGAATCCATTTTGTTGCAAAACGATCACCGTTATATCCTGTCTGTAGATCATTTGGGCGATCTCATAGCTGCGCAATTATTTTGATCTGCCAGTTGCCTGGAAGATCGATTGCGAAACGTTGCATTCTCTCTGTACCACCCCTACCATACTGCCATTCACACCACATCTCTGCATGAGTCGTCACAGTCAAGAGTTCGCCGACCTTTTGGTTCTGTTTCTAGCGAAGAGAAATTTTCACCTGAACCCAACTAATAATATTCAAAAAGGCCGTCACTATTTCCTTTTACTTTGTAAATGGATTATCTTTCTATCCTTTGTCACAACAGTTGCAATACCGAAGGCACTAATCTATTTGAAACTGAACGATTCATCTGTTCTCAATTACATGACCTAAAAGCTACGGTTTTAGGCTTCTACTCACTAATCGCCACATTGGCCAACTTAAACCAAAGCCCACAAATAATACTGCAGTGTGAAAAATCACATAATTGCCTCGTGTTTTGTTCTCATAACTTTGTCATTATGACCGTTACCGTAATATTCTATCCCAACTGTTGTATAATTTTAGCCGTTTTTATGTAACACAAAACGGGGCAAATAATTAGTGCGAAATATTAAATAACCTAAGAGAATCGTAGTTTGAATGGCCTAGCTTGTTCCGAGTACCGAACATTGACCGAGTGAGCATTTACATTTGGTAATCGGAGCACAAATACCCTGTTAACTTACGATAGAATGAACAGATTGTGTAAAGATCTATTGGCAGAAGGCAAAAGGTGGTCACACTCCGCAGTGCAGTATTGAATAGCCTCAGCACCGAGAATTTGTCATCGGAAACAGGCAAGGCATCCATTTAAGTGGCCATAACCAACAAGCATGAGCGCTCCACATGGTGTTATCTTACCTACTGTTTTTGTTTATCTAGGCCGAGGTGGAAATTTAGCTGTTCACGCTACCCCGTACTCTGTTTATATATATATATATATATATATATATATCACAGTAAAAGTGTGGTTCGCAGAACATATATCACCAATGAAATGCAAAGTCAAGAAATAAACGCTCAATTCACTCAAAGGGTAAGTGTTCAGAAGTCTGCTATCTTCTGTCGGGGTGTATTGAACCTGGTATTTAAAAAACGATGATAAATTAGATACTGTAGTGCAAAACAAAATTATGTGAGAGCCTTTGCTTAAGATGGGTTAAAAGTGTCGTATGATTAACTAATGGAGGAGCCAGGTCCGGAATGGCACTGCTTCTGTTCAGAGATGTAAGTGCAGAAAGTAGTTGATATTTAAGGCGATTTCGAGGATCTCACAAAACTTACATGACTTCGGGATGCAGACGCTGCTTTGGGACACCTGTTAGTCTGTCAATAAAGTAATCACATGCATCGCCATGCCTGGAAACAAAAAACTCAACCAAAATAGTTCTGTGGATTCCACTGTACAAGGAAAAATGTGTAATCAATCTGAAGAACAAAGCGAAGTTTTTTCGTAAACCACGGATAAATTNAAATTGAAGACCGAAGTATTAAATGTGTGGAAGAATTCAAGCCATCAAAAGTTTAAGAAAAAGGTCAGGAGGAATGACTATTTTCTGAGCTTGTACGCATAAAAGAACAGTCTACGAACGTTTGTAACAACGCCAGTAATTTGAACAGACCACGAAAAATCATGGGTAACTGAGATTTTGAGGTATTTAACAGAATCAGATTTGCGGTTGCCTCGAATGTTCTCAATCGGATAAAGGAGATTACTCAACAATCTAAGCATATTTGATCCTATTTGGAACTAACGGGAACATCAGTGTATTTATTGAGGCTTGGTTGAAGTGGTCGGAGCCCATATCAATAGGGAAGTTCATTAATTCTGTTCTTGAGAGAGCAGAAATTGTCTGAACCGGAGTATGGACAACCAATCACTGTATCATTAGCATATCTGTAGACAACAAAGTTTACGGGAATGGGGAGATTCTGTATAGATACAGAAAAAATAAAAATATACTGAATCGCACCATGAAAAGTATCAAGGCCGATATTTATGGAGGAAGACTCTGTACCTTTGAATGAGGTTAACTGGATCCCACGGGAAAATTTGTCTAATAACACATTCAAAATTTCGGGTTTCAGGTTTCAGTAGAAAGACGTTCAATAGGCACTCTTCGGTAGAGATAACCAAAAACGTTTGCACAGCCAAGAAACATCAAGCGAGCAACACCTATCTCTTCCTCTAAGACGAAAGCAATGGAGTACACAAAATAAGCGATAGATTAAAGTATGAGCGGTGAGAATCGCATTTGCAGATGAACTGAAGAAAAGTACGCCAGTTACACAAAGGTACCACGCGGTTCAGCGGTTCATTTCCAGTGGCTTTCAACAATACACTTATACAGGCGTAGTGAGGTACTTTGAAGATCCTTTCTCGGAGATCGGTCTTATCGGGGCTGGCCTCCAGCA